AGCCAAGGGGGACGAATGCTGGCTCTATGTGCAACACTGCTGGGAAGGAGCCTGGCAAAGAGGGCAGAGGTGCTAACGAAATCAAAGTTGCCCTGACTTTGAAGTTCAGGGGCAGGTCTGTCCATATAAACATGGCTGTGGGGATGGAGACAGGTGGGGGTAAAACGGCCTCTGAGCAGCCCCAAGCTCCTGCACGTGTCCCCAGGCTCCCAGCTGAGCAGGTCCCAGTCTGATGGGACGTACAACAAACTGGGATTCTCAGCCAGCGCTTGGTTCATCGGCTGAGGCCGCTGTCAGAGGAGCGGAGCTGTGAGCTGCCAGCTGCCCTCCTGGTGGCCCTTTACTTGCTTCCTCCACTCCTTTCCAACCTAGAGTGGGGCTGGTGGAGGGGAGAACGGTTGCTGTCATGGAGTCCTGTCTTCATGATCCACAGTTGGCTCATTAGATTGGGTTCTCAGAGTCCCTCCAGTGTGAGCTGGGCTGGTGTGATTGGACCTGGGGCTCTCAGCTTGCAAATTACAGGTGGCCCATCCAAACCTGAACTTCTGAGCAGGGGCAGGTGAGCACCACAGCCAAGGGCCTAAATATAACCTGACTTGTCTTATTTTTCAGGATTTCCTGCTGCGCTATAAGGGCTTCCTCGACCGTTGGGTTGGCCTCCAGAGGGAGCCAGGCCAGCCCTGGAGATGGCCCAACGGCACCGAATTCGACAACCGGTGAGTCCCTTCCCCTCCAGTAACATTCTCCGTGTTAGATCACGAGTGTCTGCCGTGCTGCCAAAAGATGAAGAATATATTTAACCAAGGTTGTTTGGGGTGTGGGAATGTGTCTGGGCTCTTACTGGTATTTGGTTTTCATGGACTAAAACCAATATTCCAGCAGCATTTGCGCTAAATGTTTTATTTATCATATCATCATAACAAGTGTTATCATTGTTTGTAATACTGTAGCACCTCTGTGCCCTAGACCAGGGCCCCGTTGTGCCAGGCGCTGTACGGTAACAGAACAGAAAGATGGTCCCTGCTCCACGGGGTTTACAAAGCAGTGCAGTTCTGGGCCCAAGGGAGGTTGCTGGAGGAGACACTAACCTGAGCTCCCCCGTCCCCATTGGGCTGTCAGGGTGGAAGTTAGACTCCCTA